GGGTTGAAGGGAGGGCAGGGGAAGGGGGAAAAAATTAGAACCAAGAGAGATTATGTAAAGGTGCAAATTTCCAATGATGAGTGTCATTATACTGTATACCTGAAATGTACCAATAAAATTAAATTTTAAAAATCAAAGGCCTAGAAGCTCCCTGGGGAGTTGCTTGTGTGAATCTGTTGGAAGACTGAAAAACCTGGAGTCTGATGTCCGCAGGTAACGACAGCAAGAGGCGCCCCCAGTCAAGCTGAATGAAGCTCTTCAAAATGAGCCACTGCCTTCTTCTCTCCCTTTTATTGCATCCTGAGCACAAGCCTATTGGTTGGTGTCACCCACAACCAGGGTGGGTCTTCCCCTCAGTTTGCTGGCCTACACGCCTGTCATCCAGGGGCTCACCCCATAGACACTCCCGTAACTGTGTTTACTAATCTGCTAGGTGTTTTGTAACCAAGTCAGGTTGACATATCAGGATGAATGGTCACAGAGCTAAAGAATGCTTACAAAGTAAATATACTGAAATTCTATAGCTTCCTTATTTGACCAGTTGGAAAGCAGAATAGGAAAAATGTCAAGTTCGCAATAGCATTAAAAAAAAGAATCCCTTAGATTGTACTAAATGAGAAATATGCAGGAAATTCTTAGAGAAAAGTAATGACTCTATTGAGGGTTATAAAATAAGATTTTCAACAAGGGAAAAATCAATTCCTGATGGAATTACACATTGTTGTAAAAATATCAGTTATCTTGAATTTTATTTCTAAATTAAAGACCATTTCAATCAAGATCCTCGTGTTGTTTGGATGGCAGGGACTGATTAAATACAATTTCAATAAAAATTCCATTGGTATTTAAAAAATCTTGATAAAGTGATTCTAAAGTTCACTTGGAAGAATAAATATGCAGTGATAGCCAAGAAAGTGTTTGAAAATAAGGATAATGAGGGGAGAACTTGCCCTGCCAAGATATAACATATTATAAAGCTACTATAATTACAACCCCTATTGCTCTACTTCAAGGCAGATCAGTGGAACAAAACAGAAGGCCCCAAGACAGGCTCCAGTGTATACAATTATCGAACATATAATAAAGTTGGCATTTGAAATCCATGGGGAAGGGATAAATTATTCAATCAAGATTGCTGGGACAATTGGTTACCTATTTGGAAGAAAATGGCAAGTTAGATTCTCATTTCACATCAGATTCCAAGAAATTACATATGAATTAAAGAGGAAATGATCCCATATAAAAGAAAAAGTGGAATAATATTTATATTATTTATATGACTTTGGGACATGAAGAAGGGCTTTTGAAGTATAGTTGGATTAAGTTTTCTCTGTCTAGTTTTTAATGTAGTGATTTAAAAATTATTTCTGTTCTTTTTCATCCTTAACTGTTAACACACAGTTAAACTTACAGTGTTTTATATGTAGTTTTTTATAGTCTATGATCTCTTAAGGAATATAAGACTCAGCACATTTCAGTTTTATAGCCCTCTTCCACTCCACATCTTATAGCTCAAATTTTTTCTTTTAGTTTATTTCTTTGTCTCTCTCTCTCTTTTAAAATTTTATATTTATGGAAAATATTGAAATGTGTAAAAATAGATTTATATAATGAACCTGTTTGTTTCCTTCACTCAGGTTCAGTAACAACTTAGCATGATCAAAATTTTTCATCAACAGCCCTCACTAGCGTACTGAATTATTCTGACTTGAATTCTTGTATTCATAAAGATTTAAGTTGTATCTTCAATGATAAGAATTCTATTTTAAAAAGTGCAGTGCCATTTTCATGCCAAAAAATCTATTGCCTAACATCAATAATTCTTTAATATCATAAAAACTGTATCCATTTCCCTGGTACGTACCCTCTTATTATTTTATTTTTTATTAAAAAATTTTCATTGGTACTTATTAGTAGTACATAATGATTACGTTCCTTTTGGGGAGTTGGCACATGTGCATAGCAAAGTTTAATTTATTTTTCAACTCCTTCCTTTTCCTCCCTCCACCTTCTTCCCATCTCCTGATCCCTTTCCATTTGAGAAAGATCTATCTCCCTACTTCCTATTATCTATCTTTTATTTTGCTCTTTATAGTTCAGATTTCTCATATAAGAGAGATCACGTGCTATTTAAGGTTGTGTGTCCGATTTATTTCACTTAAGCTTATGGTCTCAATGTGCATTCATTTTCCTAAAGATGACTTGTTTCTTTTTGGCAGAGTAGTGCTCCATTTTGTGTAAATAGAACATTTTCTTTATCCATTCATTTGTTGATGGACATATAAGACCTCATAACTACTACTGGTTTATTCAAATTAGGAGTCAAGTAAGGTCCACAGAGTCATTTGTTGACATGTTTCTTAAATTTCATTGACTATGCCTCTCCTCTTATTCCCCCACCCTCTTGCAGTTTATCTGTTGAAGAAATCATGTTGGTTGCTTTCTTGTGTCTATATTCTGAGGTTTTGGGGGTGAGCGTGTTTGGAGATTACCTCCTTGTGATGAAAGTTAGTATATTTCTCTGCCACATGTATTTTCTGTAAATCTGTAGTTGTATGGAGAGATTTGACCCAGTTTAGACTGGATCATTTGGCAGGAGTACTTCAGAGATGGTGGTGTGGGCTTGTGTGAAGGCATGCAGTATCTTCGGGGGATGTCAGCAGCTACTGATGATTGTGGTTCTGATCCATTGTCTCCCTAGGGATGGCTGGAAGGTTTCCTGTTCTATTTTAATTTACTAAACATGTTCTTTAGCAAGGTTCTGAGCTGGTCCCCAAACTCTGGTGTCTGTCCTCTAATAACCAACAGTCTAGAGATTGTAAAAGGAAGTTTGAACAACAATAACTGTAACAGAAGATTGAACAACAAAAGTAGTTTTATTTTGTATATATTCCCTGACTGTCCCTTTGTCCAGCTGACAAAATCCTCCAGTAGTGAAACCACACCATAGATAAATGTGTACATTTATATGTATTTGATCACAAATGACTAATGTAACAAGGTAAACATCGCAGCCTATTTCTTCCATTCTTCCACTTAATTGACATTGTTCCCAGTCAAGCTCCTAGATGGAGCATGCATTTGCTATTCCTGCTTACTCTTTTTCTGCATTCATTTCATATTATGAAGCATGACTCTAGCATTTCAAGATACGTATTTCTCATGCATTATGAACCCAACACAAGCCAACTGCTTCGTCTGTCTGGTGCCTGATCTAAGAAAGAACATTCTATTTCCAAACCAATAGAAGACCAGGGATCTTCAAGGAGTGTCATTTGGAGCATATGTGATCTTTTGAACCCTGTTTAACTTTAGAAATTTAATGCCTGTGCAGGATACAACATAGTTGTACCCAAGAATATGTCTTCAACAAGGGACAGGAGGCAGAAGCTGAAGCTGCTGTTCGTTTGGGCATAAAGCCTTTATTTGGTGAAGTCCAAGCTTGCTGGTCTCTCCCTCCCTTTTCTGTCTGCCCCCTCCCTTCTTCCCTGTCTCCTAACCTTATTTTCTCTTTTGCAGTTTGCTGCTTTGTTGTGCACAAACGGTGCCATGAATTTGTCACATTCTCCTGCCCTGGAGCTGACAAGGGCCCAGCCTCTGATGTAAGTAATGGGTAGGGGTCAGTTTCCTCTGTCCACAGTCAGTGCATCCTTCTTGGTAATGAGAGTGAGCATGCTTAGACAAACTTTGTTTCCACTTTGGTCCACCTTCCTGGAATTTTCCCTGTTGGCTTTGGCTCCTACTGGCTCCACCACCCACTTAGAATTGAGAGCTGACCTCAGCTTGCCCAAAGCAGTAGTGATACCTTCTCTTACTGAGTTTCTTTAGCCTTCTCCAAGTGGTCATTTGCCATTTTGTTGCAGTTCAGGGTGGGAGACATCTGTTGCTATAGCAACACCAGCACTCTAGAGATTGTGCTGGACAATTTGGCACTTGAAGTTAAGAACTCCAGCAGTGTGGAACATACAAAGCTCTTGTAGGTCTGTTTGCTGAGATGAGGGCTGGGACCATTTGCCATATTCTTTCCAGTCCTACTCTCTGGCCCTTTTAGAACAATTCCTTCTCTCATCCTCAGAAAGACAGGCAGAGAAGTGTTCTGGGAATGATCTAACTCCCTCATGCAGCTCTGAATGTTTTTGCAGATCAAGACTTGGTTCTTAAGTGCAGCCAAGGAGATGCTGTTTCCTAGGTTCTGTCTTTATCTGTCACATTTTTCTGTTGCTAAGACAGAAACTCAGTTCAAATTGGATTATATGGAAAGGGAAATTGTTGGTGTCTGAAATTGAAAAGCCCAAGGATAGACCCAGCTTCTGGCATAATAAATCAAAGTGCTGAAATAAGGTCCTCAGGGTCTCTGTCTCCATTTCCTGGCTCAGCCTTCCTCTGGGTTGGCTTCATTTTCCAGAGCAGCGTGATGGCCGTGGCATCTTTAGTTTTGTATCTCATCCCTGCTGTAACCCCAGGGAAAAGACCTCACCTCTCCTTGGGCCAAGGTCACAGGTTCTAGGGTTTTGGGAATTGAGGAGAGTTCTCCAAAAGGCTGTGTGCATCCTCTCAACCAGCATCCTGTGTATGGTGCTGATTCTCTGACAGCCAGGATTGACAGGCCCAGGAATCAAGGGTGGAAATAAAGTGGTGATCCTTACTATTTCCCCTATTTTCAATTTTTTTTGCTTTATTTTTCCCATGACTTTATGTTCCGCTGACCTAGAGGTTTTAGTTCTGGAGGGAGAAATTGCTCTACCAGGAAACATAACAGTGATTCTGTGGAACTGGAAGTTAAGACTGCCCACAGGTCACTTTGGGCTCTTCATGCTTCTGAGCTAATGAGCCAGGAAGGGACTAATGGGGTGACTGATATGGACTACCAAGGGAAATGAACTACTACTCCACAATGCAGGAAATGGAGAGTATGTCTCAAATACAGGAGATCCCTTAGGGCATCTCTTGGTATTACCATGACTTGTTATTAAGGTCGATGGCAAACTACACCAGCCCTGTGCAGTCAGGGCTACTCATGGGCCAGACCCTTTAAGAATGAAGGTTTGGGTCATCTTGACAGGTAAATAACCACCACCAGCAAGGTGCTTGCTCATGGTAGAGGGAATAAAGAATGGGTAGTAGAAGAGGGTACTTTTAAGGACCAGCTATGACCTTGTGACCAGTTATAGAAAGAAAGACTATAATTGCCATTAGTATTTTCTCCTAATTGTGTTGTATTTTTGTATATACAGTATACATATATTATATATCTTTGTTTTCCTTCCTCTTTTAATATTTTGTCACGTAACATAAGATGCATTGACTGTATATCAGTATTTAAGTATTGTTTATTTTACATCTTGGTATTTAGGTTACACAGTATCAGGAGAAGAGTAATCAATACTTCAAAACTTTATCTCTTTCTCCAGGAAAGAGATTAGTGTGCTTTTCCTTGTTCAAGGTCTAACTATATTGTATCAGATGGAATTATGACCTTGTATTTCTTCATTTGGAAGTGCAGTTTAAAGAGAACTAAGTGTATAGCTGTCAAGTTGGGAAAGGGTGAATGTGTGATGGTTAAATTCCGAGATCAACTTGCCTGAACTGAGAGATGCCCAGATAGCTCATAAAACATTATTTCTGGCTGTGATTCTGAGGGGGTTCCAAGAAAAATATAGTATTTGAATTAGTAGACTGAGTAAATAAGATGATATCTATGGTAGGCATCATCTAGTCCCATGAGGGCCTACATATAACAAAAGGGCAAAGGAAGAGTAAATTCATTCTCTCTCTTTGAGTGGGCACTTCTGTCATTTCCTCCTAGGGGGCATTGGTGCCTTCAGGATGAAGCCTTAGACTTGGACCGGGACTTCTAACATTAGCTCCTCTACTTCTCAGGCCTGTGGGCTCTGCTGTGGACTAAATGATACTGTAGCTTCTCTTGGTTCTCCAGGTTGCAGATGGCAGACCGTGGGATTTCTCAGCCTCCATAATTATGTGAGCCAGTTCATAAGATAAATTTATCCATCTCTGTCCACATCTGTTCTGTTAGCTTTGTTTTCTTGGAGAACCCTGAGTAGTACACTGTGCCTGCTCCTGGAGATGAAGATATGTGTGCTCATTCCATAGTGTGAGAGTGTGGCACAGCTGGTTCCTCAGAGGAAAGCTACAGAAGTAGTATTGCGTACTAGTTAAAATGACAGACTACAGAGACAGCTTCCCTAGTTTCAGACCTGTGTGATCTTGGCAAATTATTTAAGTTTCTTTATGCCTTAGAGTCTTCAGCTGAAAAATGAGGAAAGTAATCATCCCAACCTTGCCCTTACAGCACTGTTATGAGTGTCAAATGCATAAACATCTATGAAACCACTTAGGACAGTGTCTGGTATGGTGCAAGAGCTACCTATACCTCATGATGATGACAGTGATGGAAAACCAGTGAGCACACGGGAGCAGGCAGCAAGGACAGGCCAGGTATGTCTGAAGGGTAGGCAGGTTCTCTGTCTGCCACCTGGCAACCCTTCCTAGGAGTGTGCAGGCTCTGTTAGTTGTATGAGACCCCTCTCTGTATGAATGGAGGCATGCTGCCATTAATTGTTTCAGGCATGGGGAGAGCAGGAAGTACTCCCTGCAGCCAGCATGCACAGGATTTGGCAGCCTACCTGAAGGGATTCTATCTCTGGATACCATTCCAAGAAGGTCAGTTGGCACTAAGGATGATGGATTGGTCCAGACTCCTGAACCAGCTTGACTTGGTTCATTGACCTTTTTCTGCCCATGGTTGGAAGCATGATGAAAGACCTGGCCACACCTGCTTGTCCACCTGGCCAGGCTCTCTCTTGGCCGTCCCTGATACTCATGCAGGGACTGTGTAACCTTGGAGGAACTGGTGTACAGCAAGCCCGCAAAGCAGAAATGCTCAGCTTTGTCCATGAAAAAGGAATGCGATGGGCTCCATTCTCTTCTCCGCTATTCCAAGGCCGATTGGAGCCAGGACATATTCTAGATATTAGTAGAGCTTTGTGTTGACATCATTCTATAGACAGGTCTTCATCACAATATATCAAGGGAACTTCCTGAACTAGGCAGTGGCCTGTGTGCCTAGCTAGCGACCCAGCCATGCAATGGCAGAAGGAATAGACCATGTAAGTGGCACTCAGCAATGGAAGGCCTCAACCCATCACAGCGTTTGGGAAAGACACTTCTGATCATTTGTAGGCATTCTCCTGGTTCTTAGTCTCACCAGGTTGATAAACATCAGTTCTGTTTTTCAGACCTTGCAGAAAGACCATGTGGAACCGCCATAAGCATTACATATGGTCACTATAGGTTACCTAGCACTCGGAGTATAGGCCATGTGTACAGCCTCCTGAGAGATCGCAGAATAAGGGAGAGAAGAATTGCATCTGAGGGCTGAGACTGGGGTTCTTGTCCGTGTCAGTGGTTGTCTGGTAGGTTGGCTGATGACTAGATGTTGTAGGATGGTGTCGCTCACATGACTGGCCTCGAGTAGATTGTTGGCCTAGCCCATCGGTTTCCTCCATGTGGCTCGTCCTCTATGCAGCTGGCTGGCTTCAGCTTGTTTGCATGGAGGTTTCAGGGTGCCATGAAGGGCAACAGAGCATCCCCCAGTGCAAAAGAGCTTTTAATACCTGTGCATTGTGTTCGCTAAGGGTATTAATACCAGCTATATAGGTTTATAGTGTAATTAAAAATATTTAAAATGAAAAAGTTGAAGACAGGGAAGAAAAGACAGATGGATTAATAGCAAAAAGCTGTATGCCCTTGCACAAAGTGCTTGACATTGTGCTTAGTGAGCCCAGGATGCTGTGGTAAGGGCATTGCTGTTGTTCCCTAATCTCCCTAATCATGAACGTACTGATCGTTTTCCACATTTCTCCACTCACAGCATGTCCATGGGAGGCAATTACTGTTTCCATCCCCATTACTTTATACGAATTCTGTGATGCAGTGCTGAGAAGAGAACTCAGACTTTGGAGCCAGAGAACCTTGTGTATCAAATTCTTCCCCTGGCATTTAGTGCTCCAGTGATCTTGGGAAAATAAAATTTAAGTTCTGTGTCTTGATTTTATATCTTTAAAATGGGGGGAAATAATACCTAAATCAGTTTCTTTGGGCAAGTATTCAATGAGATTCCTTGGTTCACATCCAGAGTAGTATTTAGCATAAAAAAGGAACTCAATAAATGCTTTAAAATGATTATTAATATCACAAAGCATCTCTCCTGCCCAAGAAAGGGTGCAGGGCACCCTCTGGCCTGCCAAGGAATAATAGCTGCTCATAATAGCTAACTGTATTGAACAGGGGCTCTGTGCCAGGTAATGCAGAAGTGCAAAAGGACTCTTCAGCTGGCTTGTCTAAAGATACTTTCTTCAATATTTTACAGTTTTAGAAATAATTTGTATGCTAAAAATTACTCAACTTAATCCTTTTTGACCTAAGGATGACAATTCTAGGAATTTCTGTGAAGAGATTATTTAAGGACATGCACCTGTATTTAGAGTAACACTCATTGTGTCAGTATTTATAGTAACAAAATATTGGAAAGGACCCATGTGACTGTTAATTAGGGACTGCACAGTAAATTATATCCACACGA